AAAAAAAAAAAAAAGAAAAAAGGAGATCGTACAAAATATCTCACTTTGAGTTATATATATTGATTGAGAATTATTGCAAATAATTATTATTTTTCTTTTTCGAAATAATAAATTAAGGAAGTCTCAATTGGGGGCCCAACAGCTCAGGTACATGGACTAAGTCATGTACTAAAAAGCTGATGTAGGCTTAAGGAGTGGTGGGTGCATGTGTGTGTTCACTGTTTTAACTTTTAAGCCTAAAGTTTATGTTTATGGGCTTTTGAATATTTTGTTGGGCTTATATATTAAATTTACTTTGTATCATGGCTCTATTCGATTTTAGAAAATCGGTAATCAGTATAACCATTTAGCCCGACCACAATAGATATGATTGGCTGCGGAAGGGAAGGAAGCTCAACATACTATTTTGTATGTGGGCCGATCAAAAAGTCAAAAGTCAACCCCTAATGGACCGCCAATCTTCGTTGATTTGTCGGTGGCTGCTAAATCCATACCATTGGCTTTCTTGGAACCATTTTTTTCCTGCATTATAAATTTTAAATAACAGCATAAATGTGGAAAAAAAAATCACCTACTCAATTAGTGACAAAGGTTCCCGTTAATAGAAAATACTTTAGGGTTTAATTGTTTATGAATTATTTCATTCCCATTTATTTTATATTCAAAATCTAATTTAATTTTAATCCAACTCTACTATCTGTAATATTATTGATATAAATAAATAATATAAACCAATCATTCTTACACATCACATCAACTTTAATTCACTATTCATCCACTCACATAATTTTAACTACCAATCATTTCCAATCATTTATCTCCTACTTTTACATCAAATCAATTTAATCATTTTATTTTAAATATTATTATATTACATTCTTAAAATTCTACTAACAACTAACCATACCACCTTTTTCAAAATTAACTATAATTAACCAAAATAATTCATTTTGAATAAATTATTTCATAAACAATCACCCTCTTAGGTTTCACAAAATGAGTTTGGTGGAAATAAAATATTTATTTGTTTTGTTAGAACTGTAAACGAGATAACATAGAACTATCAATAAAGTTTTTACCGAGTCGAATTAACTTGAGATCGAGTTTTTAATATTGAAGCTTGAGCTCAGGCTCGAGTCAAGCCGAGCTAAGATTCAGCTTCAAATACTCAAACTCGCGCTTGAGCCTTTATCTAGTTGAGTCGAGCTCGAGCCAAATTCGTTTTTAAGCTTAGCTTGTCAAGTAAACGAGCTCATAATTTGACATGTATATAAATACTAACAAGCCAAACTTGAGTTTTAACTAGTAAAACCTAAATACTAAAAATCTTAAAAATTGTATAAAATTCCTTATTTTAACCTCAATGAAATTTAAAAAAGAGGCCAAAAAAGTAAGAAGAATAAACAAATGGACACTTACATTACACGCCGAGCCGCTTGGCCTCACGAACCAAATTACCGAACCGTAGGGCACAAAGGGGTCCGACCCACTCATTCCCTTCTTCTTCTTTCTCTTCCCCATTCATTTTTCGCCGCCTTTCATCAGTTTTTCATCGCAATCCATCTCAGCTATATCTTGAGAATTTCTGCAGCTAGTTTTCGCATTTTCCCCCTGTTTGTGTTGGTACGATATCGTGGTCGACGGGAGGTGTTATTGGTTGTTTTCGTTTTCCATTGAGGTAAATCCTGAATATTGTGTGTGATCCATATGGTGGGATACCCGTTAATCCCTAGAAGATGCTTTATCGTCCCCGCCGCTCGTTAGACGATTCCCTTGCATCCCAATTCCAGTTTTCGCCATGTCGAGGTCCGTGAAAGCTCGCCCTCTGCTTTGTGTGTGTGTGTGGTTTTGTTTCGATTATTTTATTTTCTTCTGTCTATCAATCATTTGGTGTTAGTTTTATATTTTGTTTCTATTGCTGTTGTGTTATCTTTTGAATAGTTTAGAGAGTCGCGTAATCTTCTTATTGGTACCTTGCTTTGTGGTTTCCAAGCAGCTCAATCTTTGTTCTATTGTGTGGTGATGGGGAGTTTTTTAGGGATTTGTTTAATATAGTTAATCATGGGGCTCTGAATGGCATAGCTTCTGCACTTTCACATTTTTGAATATATGTGCGTTGAATCTCGTGTGTGTGTTGTGTTGGTAATGGATTGTTGGTAGTGGTTTTGGAAATAGATAATATTTGGGTGTTGATTAGTTACACATATACCACCTTAAATGCAGGTTACTAAACAGTAGGAGAGTATCGAAATCTTTATGGACAAAACAGCTTAATAGCATCTCTTCAGAAGGTTCTAAATATGGAGGCACTGTTAAAACCTGGCCGTTTTCGCCTCAATATAGACTACTCACTCATTACCTGCTCCCCACCAAAAGATTTGCTTCTAATGCAATGTCCGGAATGGGGAAAAGTGGCTTCTACAATAGTTACATCACGCGTTATTCAGTCGATTTTACCAATTACTCCATGGCACACCATGCCCGATTTGCTTGGAATCGGCTAGCTCAGCTATCTGCACGCAACAACTGCCGGGCTCGTCTGCCCATAAACCGAATAGCCCAGGCAGTCAGCTTGGGCTTGGCCCGTTCTTACATAGTTGTTCCCGGCATATTCTCTCTCATGTGCGGGACCCACTTAGCTTGGGCACAATCCACCCCCGAAACGGATATCTTTCAGCCGAGGAGTAGTTTCTACATGCACGCTGCTGAGGATAGCCATCTCTTTATAACCAGATTGATACGTTCTGTGTTCGACGCCATTTTCTTGCTGCTTAGAGCTCTTCATTTGGCAGTTCTGTTCACCCCTTGCATGGCCATGGCCCCGTTCGCAGATAGCTTCGGGCCCGAGTTTCGAAAACTGTGGCTTCAGATCGTTCATCACACCCTAGAGAGAGCGGGCCCAGCGTTCATAAAGTGGGGCCAGTGGGCCGCCACACGGCCCGATCTATTTCCGAGGGACTTGTGCTCCGAGCTGTCGAAGCTCCACATGAAGGCACCCGAGCATAGCTTTGCCTACACGAAAAAGATGATCGAAAAGGCTTTCGGCCGTAAAATTTCGGAAATATTTGATGATTTTGAGGAGGAGCCCGTTGCTTCCGGAAGCATTGCGCAGGTCCACCGTGCTACCCTGCGGACTCGGCACAGCAGACGTCGGGCCAAGCCCATGGAAGTAGCGGTTAAAGTGAGGCACCCAGGGGTCGGGGAATCTATAAAGAGAGATTTCGATATAATTAATGTGGTTGCAAAGATGTCGAAGTTTGTGCCGGCACTGAATTGGCTGAGGCTGGACGAGAGCGCGCAGCAGTTTGCAGTGTTTATGATGTCCCAGGTGGATCTTGCTCGGGAGGCGGCTCATCTGAGCAGGTTTATATACAATTTTAGGAGGTGGAAGGATGTGTCTTTCCCTAAGCCTGTTTACCCATTGGTTCATCCGGCTGTTTTGGTGGAGACTTTCGAGCATGGAGAGAGTGTTTCGCACTATGTGGATGAGATCAGGGGGAATGATCGAGTTAATAGTGCTCTGGCTCACATTGGGACCCATGCTCTGCTAAAGATGCTTCTGGTATGTTTTCATGCTCTTCTCTCGCTCTCTCTCCATCTCTCTCTCTCTCCCTCTCTCTCTCCCCCTCTCTCTCTCCCTCTCTCTCTCTTGATATATACAGTATGAGGTGGTGATCCTAAAAATGGATTGAATTTGGTTAAGGTTAGGGCTGATCAAGTCATATCATCACTTTGTGAAATAGCTAAGCTAGTTGTTGACTTAGTAACCCTTTTTTTTAATATTGTTCCTTGTTTTAGGTTGGTAACTGAATCAATGGAAGGCAATTTATGGTTTTGTTTGCAAATTTGTTTAATAAAAGCCATGGGGCTTTGTAGGACATCAAAATGTAGTCCATTAATGTCTTATTTTTGTAAAATGATGTTATCTTATTCCCATTTAACAAATTTCGGAGCTTACGTATTTTGACCTAGGACTTCCTCGTTATTGATCAAATGGCACTTCAGTTGTGATAGAATACAAGAAGAAAAACTGAAATAGGGTAGGCAGTTAAAGAGAGAGAGAGAGAGAGAGGCTCATTTCTAAATAGATGGATGCTTGGTAAGAGAGAGAGAGGCTCAATTCTAAATAGATGGATGCTTGGTATTTAGTTGCGATTTTAGTAAAAAGATTTAAGAAAGGCGCTTCTTGCAGTGATTATCATTTGCAGTTGAGTTTTGATTCTAAGCAGTTCTTCCTAATCGCCAAGTTCCAATGTCTATGTTTTATAACACTATTGATGCCTCTTTTGTTTTTTTCTATACGAAGTTATATGTCCCACTGAAGCATAAATGTGAGAATAATACAGCTTTACCTATGATTAGCAATATGTAAAATTCATGCCTGATGATTTTTATTTTATTTATTCATTTATTTTCAGGTAGACAACTTTGTCCATGCCGACATGCATCCAGGAAACATTCTTGTTCGTGTGGCTCAGACAAAACCGACTCGCAAAAAGCTCTTCAAGACCAAACCCCACTTGATTTTCCTCGATGTGGGAATGACTGCCGAGCTTTCTAAGAATGATCGTGTGAATTTACTGGAGTTTTTCAAAGCCGTTGCCCGTAGAGATGGCCAAACTGCAGCCGAGTGCACACTGAGATTATCAAAACGACAAAATTGCCCAGAGCCGAGGGCTTTCATTCAGGTTAGTTATCTGACATTTATTTCCAAGTTTGGGGTAAAAAAAATATCATTTTTCTCATNAACTTTGATTTGGTGGTTTCTTTTTGACAGGAAGTGAAAGAATCTTTCGATTTTTGGGGTACACCGGAAGGTGATTTAGTGCATCCTGCCGAGTGCATGCAGCAGTTACTGGAGCAAGTCCGCCGTCATAAAGTAAATGTTGATGGCAATGTTTGCACCGTGATGGTCACAGTTTTGGTGCTCGAGGTAAGTGTTTCCTGTATATTTCCTTTATAAGGGAACACAAAGCTCGACAAATATGTGAAAACATTAATTAAAGTCCTTGAATATAGCAGAGTATACAATTCTCTCGATTTATCAACTGCATTTTCCTTATGATTATGGTTGTGTTTGGTAAGCATATAAACTAGCTTATTTGATTAGTTTATAAGCTTCAAATATTCAAATAAGTTGGTTTGGTAGCTCTAGCTTTTTTAAAAAGCTAGAGCTTATCTCATCAGCTTCATTGGGGTAGTTTTTCAAATAAGTCCATTGAAATTTTTATTTCAGCTAGCTTATTAGCTAATTTTATCAAACACTTTTATCATAAAAGCTAGCTTTTCAGCCATAAGTCATAAGCTATCAGCTATAAGCTCGAAATTCACTTAAAAGCTATAAGCTAGCCTATCAACTATAAGTTAGCTTATCAACTAAGTATCCCAAACATAGCCTATTATTATTGAAGGGTGGAAAGGTTGTCTTTAAACTCTTCTGAACTGCTCGTCTTCAAAAAGTTGTCTTCTTTGGGTGATGATTATATATGGTCTCTTGTTATCTTGTTTAATGTGAAAATATATTATTCCCTTTTGACTCATAGGGCTGGCAACGGAAGCTCGACCCAGATTATGATGTCATGCATACGTTACAAACACTTCTCCTGAAAGCTGATTGGGCCGAATCGCTTTCTTATACGATTGAAGGGCTAATGGCACCGTGATTTCGTTCGGTGGCTGCGTTTTATTATTCCTAACGACAAATTTTTGACATTGTAGAAACATTTAGAAGCCATGTATCGAATGTTCTCACATGATTATATTTTGGTTTGCGTAAATAATATAAATTCATTGACCCATTCAGCTGGATCTCTCTCATGAGAGCTAAGTTATTTCAAAGTTTGTAAGGCCTAGTTTTGATTTTATGTATTAATTCACATTTATATTTTGCTCTGTGAAAACAGTAAACTCATGAGGACATTGGGACAATAATAAATGGGCAACTGCAATTTTTGATTCATTTGCATCTTCGTACTGTATTCGACTTGCAGTGGTAACTAAATCTCTGACTTACAATAGTATGCTGGGGATAATTTGCTGGTGAACATATCCTACTAATTGGGAAAGCAAACAAAAAATTATGAGTGGCCATTTGAATACAAGATATTTTGATTTTGTTTGGATTTTTTTGGTTTGATATGTTTAATTTTAGGAAAAATAGTATGGTTAGTTTTAGTGGATTTTGAGTTTATATTAAAATAATAATAAAAGTTGATTTGATGTAAAAACATGAGAAAAGTGATATGAAGTGATAATTAATTAAAATTATGTGAGTGAATGAATAGTGAATTAAAATTATGTAATGTGTAAGAATGATTGAATGATATTAATATTATATTGAGGATAATGAAGTTTGAGTTAAAAATTGAGTTAAAAAAGTGATTAGTTAAATATGATTGAATTTTCTTGGAAAAAATTGTTAAGAGCTCTTTTTTGTAAGTTCAGCCATGATTATTCATCAATTCATGTAATATATTTCTGTTTCTCATTACATATGAAAAAAATAAAGTTCTTTTACCTCTTTCATATAAAATAATAGCAATAAATTTCCGAACAAAATAAGTTTATGAGTATTATATAAATAAAACTAACATATTTTTTCTATAACACCAAAAAGGAATAAATAAAGCTAATGAAAAAAACGTGTACATCAATCAAAACATGCTAGCAGACACCGATTAACCTACAAAATTGCGCTTCACAGTTCACCCTATTATTTTTCCGGCAATAGGGACCAATGACCCATTTAACATCTTTAATTACAACACAAATTCTTTTCTCCAGACTATAATAATATAATTCTACAGATGGAAATTGGAAACTTTTCCACTCCTAAGCGGCCACAAGTCACCCCAAATAGATCGACGAGCCTGATGATGCAAATCAGGGTTCTTACTCTGTGTAACCACCACACGGTCAAACGAGCCTTGTGTGCCCTCGTCATTTGTGGCTCGGCAAACATCCATCTCAACTCGTTTTCCCCTCCTAAAGGGCATGTAAATAATCCTTCCCCACCCACTCCCCAGATCAGCTCTCGAGCTTTCATCATCATTATCATTATAATCACCAGAATCGCCATTTTCCGGTTCTTGATCTGCATTGTCATCATCATCATTTTCTGTGGCTGTAATTTCCTCTTCGGTATCAAATTGGCTATCTGAAAATTGTGCAAAAATGTCATTTCAACATGATTTAGTTTGCATTAGGGAATTTGTATACTCGAACAACACTTTACCCATATCAATCTCCAAGTCTTCCGGTGTTCGCTTAGCCTGTACCTCTTTCAAAGTGTCGAATTTCATACCATCAAGTGGCCAAGGCTCTCTGGTCAAATAAGTGAACCGAGATCTCAACTAGTGTGTGCTTAAACAAAGAAAGCTTATAACTAGAAAAGAAAATTCACCAACAGCATTATATTGAGAGGGGAGAGAGAGAAGTGAAATACTCGAATGCAAGATAACATAATCCAAACAAAAATTGTACGACTGTACGAGGGGATTTTAGGATCTGTACAGTTTATTTAGTAATATTGAAACTATGAGGCCTCGAATTCATAATAAAATTATGAGCCATTGGATTCATCCTTGTGTTATTTAGTAAAACTGAAACTGAAACAATGCTCAAGATTGAAGAGAGATATGTATAATTATCGTCCTTTTTAAAAGGGCGTTCTTACAGAAGAATCAAAATTCATAACATATGAATCATATCTTGAAAATTTGGACACTAACATACTAGCATGGCATGCAGTCTCTGACTGGACATAGATAATATATTACTTGACAACTGGTTATTAATTTGATTTGAGTCATCAATATGTACATGTTTCGAGTATGATAGCTACACTAACCTTGGTCTTGTGCCTCTTCTGAAAGCAACATAAGAAAACTTTTCATCTTCAAAGCCACGTAATGGACCCTTGGACCACTGCAGAATATTTACGAATCGAAGGTATTTGTCATCTAGAAATAAATACATACATAAATTGCAGAGACGGCAGAAAACAAGTAATAAATGTGGATAAGAACATGAAAAGCAGCACAAATAGTTGTCCATTTTCATTTGAAGCAGAGAATTAGTATATGGGATATTGCATATTCTAGACTAGCTAGCTAAGTATCTATATAACCCCGAGGAAAAAGAATTTATGGATATTATCAACATTTCAGACTAATGCAAATCTGGAAAGAGAAGCAACAAATCTTGCAAGAATACAATTGTATCATGACCCAATGTCATTTACACACGAACTGAGTTCAGGTGCACAATTTTCTTATTTTCTGCCTTCACAGTTCACACATTTGCCTCATGTTCACTCCTTTGAGAAAGTCCCCAGAGCTTCAAAAATGTTTTTAGAACTCAATATTTCAAGGAAAAAGATAGTAGGGGAGAAAGTTGACTAAGAGTGGATGCATATATATGTCGTGTGATTTTTCCGTATGAGTCACTTTCATTAATAGTCCATGGGATTTTGGTAGAATACCCATGGCGTAAGAGCTAGGAGAGCAAACATTCCTTGATATAAGGCTGCCTATTTCCTGTAATTGCTCATCCCAAGATAATTAGGGAAGAAATTTGACTTTTATATTCCTTTAACCAGCTTATTTATGCTTCAATCTACTAAACTCCATGGTTTACCGACTGAATGCAGAAGCCACACCTTTCACAAATGTGTTCAATGACTAACTAACAGTTGATGATACAATAATTCGTGCACAATGGTATAAGCAAAATGTTCAGGAAGAACCTTGTACGACCGCTGAGATGGTGTCCTCTCCAAACGTTGAACAAAATGACAGTATTTGTTTGTATTCTGTAACGGGCAAGGTCCATCATGGGGGCACTGAAAAAAAAAAAGTCACAGATTCTGATTACTTTGCATTGCTGATCTTGATACAAGTGCAATTGAAACGAGGCGTTAGAAAGAGGAGTGAATCCATTAGCTTACAGGAGCAACAACAAATGAACCAGTTTTGAGGGTCATCAAATCCTTAGAGGCTTTATTCGCTGCATTCTGCAATTTGCGGGTTCTCTAGAAAGTACAACATTCACTTTAGGATTTAAAAAAAAAAGTCCCAACCAGAAAAAAATACAAAAATGTTACCCTCTTTTCCATCCATAAGATGTGTGATCGCATTTGAGATATTATATTTGATCCTTGAGGTGTTCCAGGTTCAACCAAAACCTAATCATCAGCAGGGCATGAATAAATACAAATTTAAAGAACTTTTACGATTTCACATCTGTTCAGACAAACAATAATACTGAAATCTAAGGTTTTACGAGAATTTCACATTTCAGATGGCAAGAAGGTTCAAGAAACTTGGGCAATAACCCATCAGAAGCATTTAGCAAAAGAAATAAGCTCTGCGTAACTAAGAAGTACACTTTAGTACATGCAGCGTGTCCAAAGCTCTATTTATTCCTTCACACATGCAAGGCATTAACTCTCTCATATACATTTTATACAGAATAATACTACCCAGTGCAAAACTGACAGAAATATCTGAAATCCAATAAATCTGAGATCCAGATGATGTTTCACAAATAAAAGGCTGCCCTTCCCAACATGCTTGTTAAATTGTAAACAGAGACCATATTTGTTAAGTTAGACAAGTGACCCAAGTTACATACTTTGAGAGAATGATTATGTTCACTTGTGGTTGTCGTCATATTATTAACCATCTGATTATGATCCACCTAGACTACAATGACACCAAGGAAACGTTGACACTATATATAATTCCTAATATCGAGTGGGTTATGTCGGGAAACTCCTATGCTCGTACATATGGCAAAGATCTTATGATTCATATTTAAATGCATTACCAATAATAAGCATCTCAAATATATGATTTAATTGACTCAGTAACACACACACAAAAAAAAAAAAAAAATGAGATCCAAGTCCTCTTGTAGTCTCAACTGCCAAAACTGATAATTATCACGAGCATGTGGAAGGGAAATATCAAAGGAGGGAAGAAGTGTATATTTAAAACCCAGCACCTGATTTTATCCCAATTTATTCATTCATTTACATTTTCAAATCCCAACTAAGTATCAATATACTAAGATTCTAGTGAAGAGGAATGTTCAAGGCCGACGGTCAGACTCTTGAAGTTTATGCTTGCTTAACTCTTCATGTGTACGTCTCACCTTAGCAAATTAAAGATAATTCGGTCCAGTTCTAGCTGTTCTTGGATCATTCCATGTTTACAGCTACACAGGTTCCTAAGATTTTCATTTAAGATTCACCATACAGCACTGCACAACCCATGTAACAACAACCAACAAAAGATCCACCAACGAGAACCCTGACATATAGAATAGAACACCTCACCAAAAGCACAGAAAAGCTAATCATACTACTGTGCATAATTCTCCCTTCCTTCTTTGTTTAATGGAGATTCATAAGTAAAACATTGTTGCCTTCACACATACCAAATATACTTTGTTCTCTTTTACTTTAAGAGACCTCAAACACCCGCCAAATTTACGAGTCACCCACGTTCTCATTAGCTAAACCAAGAAGTGATTCGTTTTAGATTCACATCAACAAAAAGTGACTCACAGACAGATATCATCTGATCGACTTATGATCTCACCATGATCCCAATGGGTTTACACTTATTCTTGGAGACAATCATGAAATGGTTGAATCCAAACAACATACTGAAATGTTCATTGCTAAGAATTACTGCTGTATGTGTCATCTTCGGAGAAAAAAGCATGTTTAAAGAGGAAGACCATATAAACTGTGTCTAAAGAATGTATGTAAAGAATATTCAGAGAGCTTGACAAAACCAATAATTAAGCAACAACTTCATCTACACATACATAAGTAAAGTAAACCATTGGGTTCAAAATTTTACCAAAATATCATCTGTAAGATCCCAGAGCTGGCGCACAAGAGTGATTCTGTCCTTCAACGATGATATCTCTCCAAGTACGTATGACTTCACCAAAATAGAACAAAACATTTTAACATTGAGCCAATCACACCTTTTATAGCTAATGACAATCCAAACAAAAAGAACTAAATAAAGGAAGAAAAAAGAGAAAACATGTGGTCAACTTAGAAAGCCAACCCAATTGCACATGCTTAAGTAAACCGAAAAATACGCCAATACATAAAAAATAATACAAATCATACTTACAGCAATGACCAGATCATGCCGTCTGCCGGACTTGTTGATATGCTTAGTCAATGATTGGATGCTGTCGTAGCTTTGAATTATTGGCATTTTTTCTATATCTACATTATTTACCCAAGAACATTTATTGAAAAAAAAAAACTTTATGGGAAAATATGCATACATTATAAGAAAATTATAAGCTCTCAAATTTGGACAAGTATTTTAAGTGTTGCGCTGGCAATCAACAATTAAAGAACAAAAGAAAATTAATTTATTAATATATCATTAAATGTAGGTACTGATATAAATATATGCATGTAAAGTTGACATCAGTTTAAGACTTCAAATGTTTAAGCCTGAAATACATACACGAGGCAGTAGGTGGAAGGGATGGAGTGGAAGTGCCTAAATTAATACGTCAAGCTTTTTTTTATGATGAAATGGCTTCAGAGGGACCTCTCCCAAAATGGTTCATGGATAAATATAGGAGAAGCTAGACATAATGTGAGGCCCCAGATCGATCAGGACGGGAAGTTCTCACCGATGCAATGAGCATCTTCTAGCCAACTTGTATGCATAAAGAAACATGAATGAATCAATACATTCTTAAAGATGAGGATCCATGAGACCATGCAAGTATGAGGCTGTTTGATTCTTGAAAAATATGACAGGCAGAACTCCCTCTTTTCCTGCCTTTATGGCCATATTTTTAATTATCCAAAGTAAGTTGCATGCTTTGGAGCAATTTCATTTGGTGAAACCTCGAGAACGTTCCAATTCTATGAGATAATACCTTTCACTAGGCTTTGTCCTGCTCTTTGCATTGATTGTGATGGCTCGACCAAATTAATGTGCTCCAAAGACCCAGGCCACACCTCCATGATTGCCCTACCATGAGCGAACATTAATAATATAAATAAAAAATATAATTGATGTCGATGTGGACTATGGAGCACACCATAACGCTGAACCAGTTCCTGCCCCAAAATCTAGCACTTTAGCTGGATTAAAATCTGGAACTCTTCTTCTGACCTAATAAATTCATATGAACCGAAAAATCCAGTCACCATCACCACATTGAAATTACATGAACAATACCATTCAATTTTAACTTATTAAGTCATGCTTATACTGGATAAAGAAAAGGTGTCCTCTAAACTTATGTAACAAGTTTCACCATAACAAAACCTATTCAGTAAAATAATGTAAAAAAGGTTTCTCCAACAGTTTTGCATAAAGTATAGTACACAAATAGAATCAGTAAGAAAAGGCTCACTCAACCACATCTTGCTTGGAACAGAGAGAACATCACAACATGTCCAAATAATGAGGTTGAAAAAGTCCAGGAATCACAAACAATTCCTTGACGTGAAGTACAGAAACTACCTCAGAATTAAGCTAATCACCAACCCAAAATAAATAAATAAATAAATGGAAAGAAAAAGAAAGATATATCCATCTCTTAAGGGTAACAAATATTGCATTTATACTTGTTTTTCTTTCAAATTTGCATCCAGCATCCCCGAGAGAAGAATATTCACTTAAGACATTATCATATTAAAACTTCAATGGGATCTCCGTAACCCTATAAAAGGCTAAATGCAATTCTAAAGGTAAGCAGAGATTTTCTTCATTAGCAAGACCTCATAAGTGCTTCCTTTTGTTATCCCATTCTTTATATGCCATTGATTTTAAGCAGCACGGTCTATCATATGAAACTTCACTAGACCAACCAAATAAGCATAAAAAACACTGTTCAGAAAAACTACCAACATAATTTACTAAGTCAAATGCTCACACCCCTACTCATTTCTATACCTCATTGAGCACACGATAGAGAGCCGAGTAGACTGCAGGCATACGAGCGGCAACATACGCTACCGCCTGCTCTTCTTGGTACTTAAGACCAATGTCTCCATAAGCAGTCTTCACTTTCCACCTCTGTGAGCGCTCCATGGATTTGAATGGATCTTCCACAAGCTCCTTTGAGGTCGAGCTCGGCAAGAGCAAATTCACTTCCTTGATTCCATTGAATGATTGGGACAAGCTCAGCACTTTCCTCCTCATGTGCTCAACTTGTTGCTCTATAATACATAACCGTGGGTCACATATGTGTTTAACAAGCAAAATAATCCATTCTTCTCGAGCCAGTACATACGAATTTGAGAAATTGGTTCAACTAGCTGAGATGATAAATACAATATCGTAAAACTAAATTTACAAAATATATATGCTCTCATTTTTCTTCAAAACCACACGAACAGAAGAATTGTCACAACAAAAAGAAGAAGAGTATGAGGAATGAAAAAATGACATGTTCGTGAAAAGCATTGTCCTTAGTACGAATTTCATTTTATTTTTACCTTTAAGATACTTGTCGATGGCGCGGCGGAGGCGGACTGGAATCACGCGGCAACGTTCAGATTGCTTCGCCGCAAGCTTTAGGGTTTCAGCTGTGAATTTTGGGAGGGTCTCGGAAATCATCGACGCCATGATAGCTTCGTTGAGAGCTGTGTGAATGTGTGATGATGATTACTGTGTTATAAATATATTTTGTTATAATTTTTTTTTTTTTTTGGGATTGTATATTTATATTACTAAAAAATTGACAATTTCAATTTTAGAATGTGATAAATAATTAATTAGCTTGATTATGTATTTAATTTGTAAGATTTATGCTACAAGTAAATTTGATTTTTCTTAGTAAGTGATAATGTGATAAATATTAGGGGTGACCGAAAAAACCGAAAACCGAAAATATACATTTTTTCAAATCGAACCGCACCGAACTTGAAGGAAAAACCGAACCAAAACCGCACCGAAATTTTCGGTTCGGTTTGGTGCAGTTTCGGTTTTAACCGTAAATAACTAAAAAAACCCAAAATAAATCAATTTCAAAACAAAATTAGGGTTCTTGGTCAGAAAATGAGGAAAGAGGGCAAATTGGAAAAGGAAAGAAGAAGACGAAGAGAGATCGAGAGCTAACCTAAATTGAGGTCGACGAGCGCAGGAGGTTGTGAGAGACGAAAGAGATAGAAAGACTGAGTTGCGTGACGCGCGTTCTTTTTTTCTTTTTTTGAAATGAGATTGAAATTGAAATGAGATTGCCACTGCGTGAGTTTAGTTGAGATTGAAATGAGATTGAAAGACGAAAGTGAATAGGGCAGGTAAAGAAATTAGAATTTTAAGTGGTTGTAAATTGTAAATTATCTTTTTAATTGTTAATTATTGTATAGTTATTATAAAGAAGCCCAACGACCCAAGCCTCAAAGGCCCCCAACCCAAAGGCCCAAAAGTGCAAAGAGATAGCCTATCTGCCTATAGTACAGTACACATAAAGTTGCATTTTAATAAATTCAGTGCGGTTCGGTTAAAACCGTACCTTTCGAACACAAAACCGAACCATACCGAACTCTTTGCGGTTTTTCAAAATTTTAACCGCACCGAAAACCGAACCTTGAAAATCGAACCGAACTGCACCGAATACAACAGTTCGGTTCGGTTTTTCGGTTTCGGCTCGATTTTGCTCACCCCTAGATATAATGGTTCAGAGGGCCTGTAAAAGGGCACTCTGGCCCAACCCCGCTGCGGGTTGGCCGCATATTATAATT